GACCATCAATGTGGTTTGGGATTAAAAGGAGGGAGGAAACAGAGTGCTGGAGCGGCGGTGCGAAGACAGCACAGAGATTACGAAGAGTAACGGGACTTAACAACTCAACTGGGAAAGAGAAATACACTTCAGGAAGCTTTTAACATTTATTTGGCCTTATCTCCTCTAATTGGATTAAATCATTTGTAATTGTTTGAACATGTCTTTGCAAAGAGCTGGGCCAAAAGTGCAGCGGGAGACGTGACATCATCAGTGAGGCAGAGGTAGAAAAGCAGCATAATAATAATTGGGTTACACCGATGAGTAGACGAGCCAAAGCGAATCATCGGGGAATACTTCAAATTAGACCTGAACTTGGATGTTGATCATATAAAGAAGCTAAAAATCTCCATTGGGGTGGGGGGGCATTACAGTTGCGACGCTAACAAGTCTGTCATGGGCAAGGAAGCATTTCCTGTCCTCCCGGTGCTATAATTACTGCATCGTGAAAGCAGAGAGGGTCGGAGCGTGGAAGAGTGAAGGAAGGAAGGAAGGGAAAGAAGGTCATCCCGAGCCATCACTCTGCTGGCTGCAGTTGTAGTGTGGCTGAGCGATTTATTGACCATCTCAGGGTGCACTCTGTCAGAGGGGGAGGCAGCAGCATGAAGGAGAGACAGAAGAACGGAACTAAGTAGGGAAGGAGGACAATATGGATGAGTGAAGGAGAGGGAATCTTGATTCCTGGGGCCCAATGATAATGACGTACCTGCTCGGGCCGTCCATCGGTCCTACTGCACACCACTACTTAGACTCTAACTGGAAAATCAATAGGCTCTTCTATCAGAGACCTCTTGCTGCCATGGCTCTCTGTGATTGGCAGCTGCGACCCAAGGTCATCGCTGGTGAACATGGGTTTGGTGGAGCGGGGAGGACGCCAGAGGAGGGGTGCCGCCCCGGCACTTTGATACTTTAGGGAGAGCTTACCCATGTGAGACTTGTTGCTTTAGGATCAGGGTGTTTTTTTCATGGCTGACTGACCTTTCACTTGTCTACTTCTGATAACACAGGGTAGATTTGATCCCCCCTCGCCCCCACCCTGCCGCACTACTTAGCCTCAACCTCACTTTACCCCTTATTCCTATTTAGCTTTTTTTTTTTTATTCTACATCCGTGATAAGTTAGACTTTTGATAAAGTGTAATTAGTCCAGTGATTGGACTAATTGATTTGATTACGCAGAGGTACATTTTGGAGGGTATACTGTATAAAGACTCCAGTTTTACAGGTGCTCTACACAGACAATAACACTGTGTTGGAGACCACTGATGATTATGTTCTAAAAGGTGAAGTTTCAAGTGACTAACTTGTGACATTTCAGTGGTGAGTGCCTTAAAGATTGAAGCAAATTCTGGAATAAATCAAAGTTTGGCCATAAAGTAAAAAAGAATGTCATATGATCTTCTCTTTTTAATTTATTGCTCTGTCCCAGACTTTAAACTTTAAAAGTTGTTGGGTTTTTTTAGGGAGATCTTTGCATGTGCTGTGAGCAGCCATTGGTCCATCAGCCACATGTTGGACCCAAGCCACTGGCTGTGGCTCTTGCTTGGCTCGAACTGTTACGATTACATCATTAGTGAGTGTGACTCCTTTCTGTTGGCTGCTCTGACACTCGGATCTGGTGTCAGGGTATTTCTGTGTAACAGCGAGCGTTTCCATGCAAACAAACCGAGTGACTGTTTGCGTGGAATGAAATAGGAATAACATAATAACAGACTGTAACATAACAAGAATACACTATCTCTGGGCTTTGAATATATAATAACCTATAACGTATTTAATTTACATGTTGAAGCTATAATTCGTTTTATAATAATATGTTATTTTTAAATGATTGGCAACAGAGAGTATTTACATATAAATATACACTCTGAGGACAGGAAGAAGGTTTTGACATTTTACAGCTGTCATTGAGCAGGATCCACGCCGTGTTAAAAAAGATTTCTCTAGAAAGTCTATATTTTTACTGAGGACAGGAAGAAGGTTTTGACATTCTACAGCTGTCATTGAGCAGGATCCACGACATGTTAAAAAAATTTCACTAGAAAGGCTATATTTTTAAACGGACTAAAGTGTTTTTTTTTCCATTACAACTTTTGTAAAGTTTAGCAATGTCCACAGCTACAGATATTTTGTTCCATTTTTCCTATCAGATAAT